ACATATCTATTTTCTATACTTCAATTTTTACATGCATATCATCTTATATATATATATATATATATATGAGAAAGTCCAAAGACTAATATATTAAAAAGAAATAAGAATACATATAAATTGTGTGGAAGGGCTCAAGCATGACACCCTTCCCTCACGATAATCACCACATACAAATAGTTCAAAAAAAAGAGAAAATACAAAAAATTAGAAGAGACCTAAAGAAAAAAACAAAAAATGTAAAAAAATATAGTATTAGGTAGCTAGAAAACGACCCAATTTTGCTTTGCATCTGCCACTATTTCTAGTAAAGGAGCTAGCTAATAAATTGGTAAGATGAGTGTCATTGCCAGTAGTGACCAAAATATCATCCAATAAGTTCCCAAGCTCGAGTCGGCCTCCATTTTTCTTCTTCCTCCCGGAATAGGCCTGCCATTCCTCATCCAAAGATTGACTCACCTGATCAGTGAATTGGTCTAAAGTGTGCCAAATATATGTAGGATGTTGAACATTAGAAATAAGTGCTTGTTGTACCAACTGATCTTTGATTGAATCAAAGGAGCACTATTGCGTGTCTTGGCATGTAAGTGAGTCTTCTTCAATAACAGTGAGTGGTATAAACATTTGTAGATCTGTATCTGTAGTATGGTGGTCTACATCAGGAACTGCGTTGTTGGGTAGAGGATCGATTTGCACCTTCTCAGCAGGGATGGTAGGTGACTGATCTTTAACGATATTCAAAATCTATCCTGTGATAGTTTTCTCTCCAAATGGAACATATATGTCCAGAATAGTGGGATGAGATCCATGCTTATTCACTTGATCTTTAGATTTCAAATTAGAATGAAACTTATGACATTTATCAAGTATATGCCTGAACATTTTACAATGAGAACAATAAGGCGGTTTATGCTCTATGATAATTTGTTGCCAATATCCATTATGAGTTGTGCCCAACCAGATTTCAATTACATCAGGTATAGTAATATCTCTTTCCACAAGTATTCTGACCACATAATGTCTGGTTATGTTGAAAGTTGATAGATCTAGCTTCATAGAGTCTCCAAGTATGACCCCAATAGAGTAAAAAATCTGATGATGAAAAAAATACAGCTTGAGACCTGGTAGACTGAACCATACCGGTACAGTAGGAGGTTCAAAATCAGGAGAACAATTGAGTAGTTTCTTTGATTTATCAGCAATGCTAAGATATTTTTTTGGAGAAAATCCGAGTGTAGTCTTCAGTCACTGTTAATTGAATCAATACATGTCTCCCATCTATGAGCCTCACTTTCCACTTTCCTGCTAATTTGAGATCATCAAAATTTTTCCTTATAACTTCCATAGGTGGGTGTCCCCACTGAAATTTTTCAATAAGAGCAAATTTAAATTTGTCAGTCAGGGTTGAAATTTCTAAATTCGAGAAAAAAATGCTACTTTTTCATTTTTTCTTCTTGTATTCTTAATAAATGGGCAGTCACCTGTACCATCACGATATTCCTTATAACTTGAGGGGAAGACAACCACCGTCTCTACCTGAGGATTACCCACCACGTGGGCAAAGGAGGCTTTGCCGGGTTCAACTAAAGAAGAAGGAAGCTCCATCACGGCAATTAGAATCGGTCAGAGGGCAGGAATGAAGAGCCGAATACGGTATGGACGAAGTCGCAAAATGCCGTGCAGAAGACAAGAACCGAAGAAGACGTGTAAAACGTGCGAACCTGTCAACGTCGAAATAGAATAAAGACGACTCAGCAAATGCGAACTCTGTCGGCTTCGAATGTTGCAGACGCGAGCCGCAGTCGACGTCGAAGCAGCGCGAGCCGACGACGACGGAGAGGACGGAGAGACGATGCCGGAGAAGAAATGTGAGGAAAGGAAATGATCTTATGCGATAAGAGTTGCTAGGGTTCGACATTGATCGAAACCTTAGCAGAGCTGAGCGTGGGAGACGACATCATTTATATATATATATATATA